CCCCCCCCCCCCCCCGAATTATTTATAGATTTATAGACACGTTGTATTTCATAATACGCATGCTCACAAAATCAATAACAAGACATCTTTCCAAAATGGAGGATTTTTCAGCTTCTGGAATGGGCAACTATCGGCGTTATTTGAACCCTTCTTTGGACGAATTTGATGTAAATTTGATGATGGAAAAGGCAACTGCCATTAGCATGAATGAACTAAGGGAAACAAATGGTAGGAGCGGTGGCAATAAGGATTCTTTTGTCGTGGAAATTCCGGGAAGCGGTGACGGACGAGGAGTTCAAATGTTTAGACAACGAGCACAAGTTGATACTGGAGGCATGTTTTCAAAAAAATTAAGATATGACTAGTAGTTATATTATACGGGAGATGTAGAATTGGGATCGAATCGGATTTAATAGAGTGATCGTTCATAGACTTTTATAGCTTTGATTTTATTGATTGAAATAATTTGTAAATTAGTGGGAATTTTACCATTATGGTTATTTCAACACGGTGTAACAGCAAAATGCGCAAACAGCAAAAGAGACACAGTCTAGTTAAAGCTTGAAGTCTAAAAGAGGCATAGTCTAGTTAAATGGTTAAAACCTAAAGTCTTAATCGCGAAAACGAGGCTCTACAGCGACGGTGGCGTACTTTGTGGAAGCATGATTGTATTTAAGCCTTGATTAAACGAGGATGAGAGTTGATGAGAACCACAACTTTCGTTTGCGTTTGACCACCAATTCTCACACACTCTTGTCAACATTGAACTGGAATTTCGGGTTTGATTTCGATGTTTAGGAGGTGAATGCCTCTCACTAACTGCACTGAAGCTGGGAACATGGTGATGATGACTCGAGATCATTCGCGAATCGTATACTGTGCAGCAGTTACGCACTTTTGAATCTGACCTTCCTGCTGCCCCACCTCTGGCACTACGTCTGATTGGTTAGTGGGTATATCAAATGCGTCAGTTGGTTATGTAGTCACTTCATGGTAGTGGTGGCGGAGGTCAAATCTGAACCTCTATAATCTGTGCTTACAGTGAATTTTGTAACCTGGGGTGGGCCCATTTTCATAGATTGGTGCCGGTTCCTTTACTCAAGTAGTCATCAGCATAACTTATTGGTGAGGTATCTATGAAAGTTTGTATTACATATCAAAGCACCCCCTATTACATTGACTGGCAGCTCTCTCCCTTAACCACATTGGTGTGGTAGCACTCTCCCTTGAGCAAGTAAGGAATTGTCTGGCATTAGACAGAGAAAAATAGTAAAGAAAGTAATAGAAAAATAGCCTGGGCACATTGCCACTTAATGGGTTAAACCATCAACGATATGAGACATAATTTTATTTTGCACATCAGATAATCCTGGATCTTCTCCTCAACATTGAAATTACTTGCTTTGTACCAACTATACATTTATTTTTTTTGTAATTTTCAACTCCACTTAGAGTGTGATACAGCCATTTAATAGAAAATCGTCAAAATGGAAGAAAGTGGTAAACGAGTTTCTAAAGTCTGTGCTTTCTGAAAAACAGGTTTGACTACTTTAGATGATATTTTCTGCTTCTTTGTACATCAGACAGCAAAAAATGACATTTATATTATGTTTTGTTGCAGAGTTGGAGGATTGTTTACCTTGGATGTCTGAATCTTTTTTGTACTATCTTCTTGTTTTCATATTGTAGAATTTCAAATAGCATGGGTAAGTTATAAAATATTGAAATTCTTTGTACTAAATTGTTAACGCATGTGAAACAATTTTGACAAAATGAATTAGGTGCATGCTCAGTAAAGATAAATTAGGCTAAGTAGCGAGAAAACATTTTGCTTCACCAGTGAGTAGAATTATAGTTTTTTGCCAGCTGGCTGAAGTATGAAAGAAGTGAGAAACTGATTTCTCACACTGGGGGCCCGGGGCGAGTTGCTATGCCCTTATGAGGGCATGTGCCTCAAGATATAGCATCTTTTGCCACAAGTGTGGTAGTTATCACCCACTAGTATTTTTGCATACACACCAACTGATTGTATATTATTTTTGACATTTTCTGTAGCATTGACAGCATTTACATATCTCACAGTGTTCGATTTTCTCAGGTACTACTTGTTGTTTGGACAATCGTTGCTTAACATGATTTAAAAATGCTTATATAATTCTGTTATAAAAAAATATGTGAACATAATTGTGAAGTGCAAAATAATTCCTCCTCAAATCTACATTGAAAATAAATTAGGTTGTGAGGCTTCTCATCAATTATTTTCATCAATTTCTTGTAGCTTGCTGACTTGCTTCCTTTCCATTTGGATTTCCTTGCAAAATCCCAGCTCAAATTTTACATTTGGGTAAGTTGAAAAGTATGATGAATAATTAGGTTTATATATGAAGCTAGAATTGAATAGTATTGCAAAAAAATGTCTTGTGTTGTAACCCATTGAGTGCCCGAGCACGCTCTCCTTGACAATTATCACTGTAGTAAAATCATCTGGTATTATAGACAGAGTCAAATAAAAAAAGTAGGGTGCAATGCCACTTAAAGGGTTAACCAGACCCATGGACACATTTTGTCTGATTAATTAATCATTGAGCCAGCACTCTCCCTTGATGAGTAAAATTGTCTGGCATTAGACATAGTGAAATACCAAACATTAGGGTGCATTAAGGTGCAATGTCAATTAAAGGGGTAATCAAATAGTATGAAACAATTCTGACTAGGATATTGTAAAACATATGCATTATTTGGTATAGCAATAGATATTAAGTAATTGATATCAGTGACTGCATACATCTTATGGTAATTGATCTTTCTTAAGGTTTGCAAGGGTTGAGGTGTTAGCTGTATTTGCATCAACTATGTTGGCAATTTTTGGTGCTTTGTTTGTTATTAAAGAGAGGTAAGTGAACCTAAACTTCATGAAATTAAACTACATAAAGATAAAAATAAAATAAAAATTACCTTCAGTTGATATATTTATTTATATTGGGTAGTTCTTTTATCATGCCCAAGTGCTCTTTGGTGAATTACTACTTTCAAGGAACCTTTTGGTTCGGAAACCTTAAGAGTGTTGTATTTAGAACTTTGTGTTTTAACCATTATTTAGCATGGAAAGAATATTAATTCCACCAGAAGTAAATACGTAAGTCAAATTACTGTTTTAATATAAAAGTATATTTTTAATATTTAGATCCTAAAACTACTCCTAGAATCATTGTCATAGATTGTGAATTTAAACTTTTGAATTGTGTAATGATGTTTAGTGATCACATGATGATGGTGACATGTGTTGGTTTGGTGGTGCATTTGGTTGTCACATATGGTACGAGAAATAAACCATTTAACCAAGTTTTGAAAGGTTTGTACAATAAGCTCTAGCTAGATAAACATGCAGTATATGACGTAAATGTGATGTCATTTTGGTACCATTGCTGGCTTTATTGCTGCCAATTGCAAGATCTATATATTCTTGGGTTTCAATTACGTGATATTTTAGCATAATTTGACTCTGGTGGGGGCAATCATTGAACTAAGGTCAACCAAAACAACAAAGAAACAAGATGTAAATGATTTTCCGACTATTATAAAAGCCAATATAGAATAATATAAACAATATAAAAGCCCTCGTTTACCCTGACCCTTGATCCCCATGTGACGTCATATGAAACCCAAGAATTGTTGCGAATATTGGCTTGGACAGTGCTCCTTCGTGGCGTTATCAATACTTCAGAGAACTTGGAATAACCCAATGCGTGCCTAGTCTTTTTCCAATCTATTGAAAGCATCGAGTTTGAGGCAGCACTTTTCTTTGGAACCATTAACAATATAGCAACGTCATTTTACTGTATTTCATTTTACTGTATAATTCATTTAAATAAATTCATTTTTGTAGCGTCAACTTCAAACTGGCTGCAAGATGCCCTGATGGATTTAGGTCACAGGTTAGTCTCCACTTGTGCTACTGTATAAAGTCAAGTTATAGAGGCGCCCTGATTGCAACGGTTACACAAAAATCATGCATGGGAAAACCAAGAAGTCGACCTTCTGTAAGGTTCCTATTCTGTTGTAAAATACCAAGAAGTCGACTGTCTGTAAGGTTCCTATTCTGTGGTAAAATACTCACCAGAGTCTGATGTGGTCAACAAGGATTAAAAAAAAATGTTAATAGATTACAGAATGTATCAGAAATACAGATCAGAAATATTACCTAATATCCGAGAATAAATTGTTTTTGAGTTCATCCAGATTGTTTTACATTTTAATTAATAGTTTCATTTTGTCTTTTGGTTGGACAAAGTAAAAGTAAAACTATTAATTTAATGTAAAACACTCTGGATGAACTGAAAAACAATTAATAATATACCCAGATGCAAACCATTTTAATAAAGTTTTTACTATCTTTTTTACTCTTATAGTATTTGTGGTGTTTTTCCTCCCTTGGGAAACTTTCTGATCGCAAAAGTCAATCCGTTTGCGTTGGTCGCCCTTGTTGGAGCTATTGCCGTTGTAGTAACAACTGTCTTTATTGATTACAAGTAAGTTGGTTGTGTTTGGTTTATATGTAGTACGTCAATAAAACACTAGCAGAGTGCTTTATCAGATGTAAAACACGAGAGCGGACTGCGAGTGTTTTATCACAGAGAAGGTTTTATTAAAATGGCTTAAAAAACGACCCATCTGATGAGTACATTGCCATTGGCCAGCCTAGACCTAGGCCTTCTATTTTTATTTATATTTTTAATAATATTCAGCGCTTTTTCACATGAAAAGACTGGGACTAGGTGATTTGGGGGCGGGGCGGAGGAAGGACGCAATAAATGACCACTGCGATAATTACCAAATGCTAGCCGGAAATTGACCAAACCTGCCAAAGATACCTGCCAAAGCCAGCCGAGTAAAGGCCTTGGTCTAGGCTGGCCATTGGCGAAGTAATTTTAAAAATAAGCGGTGTCTAAGCTGGGAAAATCAAAGCTAAAGTTTATGTACATTAACATGATTTTTTATCACGTATAAAAACACCGAGACGGTAATTATTTTCTTTGTCTTTTCCTCATGATAAATAATATAATAATATAAATAAAATAATATACAATATGAGTGGCCCTGTTGTGTAAGATATAAGCGAGTGGTTGTCTATCATGAACATAATCATGAACATGGACACGAATTTTGCATATATAGCTTGTGATTCATCTTCATGAAAACGTTCGTATTCTTCAACAATCTTAAAGATGATATTTAGTGAGAAAAATGAAATACTCAGTTAAAATTGTCCAACCAAATGTGAATACGTTTTCATACAAAACTCGATGCATTAATAAAAGGTTTTCTTGTGAACAGTTTATTATTATTTTCACAGAAATTATTATCTGGCTGATACACTGGCAGCAATTGCAATCGCGTTATTGACCTGGGCAACTATGCTGCCTCTGGCAATTTACAGTGGCCATGTCTTATTACAGGTTAGCAGTGTCAATATTTACAGTAAACAAAAGAATTATATAGTATGAACCTCCCTATTTTGAACATCCACAAGTATTTTTGCGGCCTTCAAATAATGGACCTCAGTCATCTCTAATTTATACTTTCATTTTTAGACGTGTCCTCGTGCGGTAATGAATCAAGTTGACAAATGCATGAGAGAGGTTTGTTAAGGCCCGTTTACACGGGCGATTTTTGCTGCGATTTTAGTTGCGATTTTCTCCTTTTGGAGGATGTGAAGGAGTCAGATTACTTGATGATGTTGTTATGAGATTTCATAACCTGGAACATTTATAACTCATTCACTCCTTCACATCCTCCAAAAGGAGAAAATCGCAACTAAAATTGCAGTAAATATCGCCCGTGTAAACGGGCCTTGTTTACACATGCAATTTTTGCTGCGATTTTAGGTGCGATTTTCTTCTCCTGACGTATGTGAACGAGTGGATGAGTCATGTACGTATAATTAGAACATTCATTAATTATTTACTTGTTCACATCCATCAGAAGAAGAAAATCACACCAACCTCGTACCCAGGCTCTTTCCACTACGCGTTGAAATCGCAGTAGAAATCGCAGTAGAAATTGCAAGTGTAAACAGGCATACAATTTTTGTCGTACACGCTAGCACTTAGAAATTGTCAGGGGAACCTTGTCAAATTTTTCTTACTAACAGATAAACTTAACAAAAAATATTGTCAAGACGATATTTATTATTGTTGAATGACTGTGGCACGAACGACGGAACAAGTCAACTTGTCAAGAAAAACTGTAGGTTGTGACCAGGCTCTCTCCGGGGCGGGGCCTGCAAACTTTGGAATGCCTGCTCGCTGGCTAGGAAAACTTTAGCCTGCTTGGAAAGCTCTTGTATATGGGAAATCTTGCTTGCCTGTCTGTACAGTGAATTATTTTTTTCTTGAGGCTCAGTTGACAATTGATTTGACTAGTTCCTCTTGACCTCTTCTCGTGTTGAAGACATAACTGTAGCGAGTTCTCTTTGAGAGAGTTCTTGTTTAAAAGTATATAGAGAGCCCTTCTAGCTTATAGACTTGTGACTTAATATATACTGTATTGGGCATTTTAATTTTTTTACCTAGCACTGTTTTTTAAATTCTTACATATATATTCGGTAAATATAGGTCACCGATTTATACCAGCCAATCAATTATTGGCTGACCGGTCCTTTACCAGTTTCAATAAAGATTTTATTATTATTATAAAAGCGGCTTTGTGGTTGTTGAGGCCGCTTCGCCACCTGCATAAGTTTACCTAACTGAATTTCGTATCTTTCTTGTAAATAGTTCTTCTTTATCTGTGTCGATTTTGTGACAAGTCAAATACGTTTCTTGTTCCAAACCTAGCATGACGTTTTTACACAAGGAGGACATTGGTCGAGGAGACATTTTCGTTTCCACGGTGTTTTAATCTAAATTGCTCCGATGGGATGTGTTCTCGGCAGTTCTGGAAGTCCAATATTTTAGAGATGTTTTTCAAGCTGGGTTTATATTTCTCTTTCCCGGCTTTGAAGAGCCTATCTCATGAATTATGCACAAAGCGGTTCCTTTTAGTAGGCCGACAAAGGAATATAGTCTTTTCCTGGAATATTTTAACTTTAACTATAGCACGATATCTTCAACACTGTAAATAAACCTTAAATTTTTTATAGGCTTTAACACTTGATGGAGTTTTAGAATTTAGAAACGAACACTTTTGGACATTATCATTTGGAAAACTGGTAATGTATTTAAACTTTGTAAATGTATAGACTTTATAGATATGTATTATGTCGAGACACATGGAGAAACCACATTGTAGTTTAGTTTCGTTTCGTTTAGTTTAAGTATTTTAGTTTAGTGGGGTGGGTTCCTTCATGGCCAGAGGGAGTTCCCTAACAAGAAATGTTATCATAGAAGGGAGGTGCGCACCCCCCAAAATATTTTGCATCCCTCAGAAAGTCCCCCCCTCCTTGCCCCCACTGTGCTTTCTCTCCCCTTCCCCACCAGATTAAAATCTGAAAATCTGTCGGTGAATTTTATTACTTTTTACTCATAGGTTGGCTCACTACATGTTCGCGTAAGGAGAGATGCCGATGAGCAGGTCAGTTACCTCTTATTTTAATGAAGATATTGTCTGGAAACTCTGCAACGAAAGTCGTTGTTCGAACGTCGTTTTGCTCATGTTTATGTAAACTTGTGCAAGGTGATTTTTGGGAAACAATAGGGTAAAGATCTACGTAAAATGATCGTGTTTTGTGATTGGCTTTCAGAAACAAAAATGATCATTGTTTGTAACTCGTTCTTTAGAAAGACGATTTCTATAGTTGTAGTGTCTTTCTTTGTTAGAATCAACCAACCATGAGCCTGGATAGTATAGGTAGATGATGACCCAAACAATATTCTGCACAGTTGATGTGGTGACGTCACACCGGAAATTCGTCGGAAATCGTCGGGATAGGGTTAGGGATATGATCAAGATTAGTCAGGGTTAGGTTCGGAAGAAATCGTTTTGCTACGTTCATATAAATACACTGAACTTTTTCTTCTTTTTCCACAGTTGGTTCTTGCACACGTGACCAATAAACTTGCTGGCCATGTTGCGGATCTGACCGTTCAAGTGTTTAAAGAGGACTGGAGTCGAACCGGAAGTGCCATGACTTACACAATGCGGACTAATTCTCCTTCTGTAAAACCTCACGACCATGCCCCTCGAGCCGCAGTTACGTCGTAAAATCTTCTAGCCAATAAGGAGCCATTTACGCTTGGTATACGTACTGTAACTAGAAATTCGACAGCTTATAAACTTGTTGCATATTATTGTCAGAACATTTTTTCCTGTCTGGTCCCCATTGGAATTCACGGGGGGGGGGGGAGTGAAGGGCAGGTGCGAGACGTCCCATCACGCATCACAACCGTTCTTTTTCCAAGTGCGCCTCATATATAACTGGAGTGATAACTAGAGTTCAAAAAGTGAAGCCAAGGTAGAGCTATTGAACGTCAGTTCTAGTCTAGCTATTTATATTGTTTTTGTCTGTTGAATTTCGCATTTTGACCTCAATTAAAAGAACAGCAGCATGGTTTTTTTAAATTGATAACTTGATTAGCGATACAGTCCGTTAGAAAAAGTTGGAATTAGCGAATAGATTTAGGACGTCAATTTCCGCCATATTGACTTCACTTTTCAAAAGCCGAATGACTGAAGTTCTAACTCCAGATATATATAGAGAGAGCTCACTGCGTTTTCCCAACCACAGATCAATATATGCCACTGATGTACCTGCGGAGGAGGCAACAATATTCCCATAAAATTGCTGTGAAGCTTGAACAACATTGTTTGATAAAGTGTGTATCACTGGAAAAACAAAAAATATTGTGCAAGTGAAATCAAGAATTGAAATTAAAATTTTTATGATAGAATGAAATAAAATGAAAACTTTTAACTTAAAAGTTACAAAAAAGAGTTACGAATTGCTGCATTTAGGAAGTGTCGTATTAATTTTGTAAATTAACCTAACAGGGTATATACGAAATTATTTTAATCGTTAAAATGGTTAAATCAACATGATATTTGATCTAAGATTGCTTTCTGCAAACTAGAGAGTAGAGTAGATTAGTAGAGATTCGATTGTCTTTTTCACATGCTTGTATATTTTATTTTTTATGGAGCCACTGATTCCACATACATGATTTTTGGAGTTGTTAGCCAGTAACTCCTGGTTATAATAGACTCTAGGGGGAGGGGTGGGTTAGAGGCGTTTTCTAAGGATGGTCTTTTATATTTGTCATTGGGTAAATTGAACTTGTTTTAATTCATTAAGTCCCTTTTGCAGTTGGCAACTGAATTACATGGAGTATTAAAAATTAATTACATAAAATACTAGCACTAATGGTTAAAATACAACTATATTATTATAATGTAGATGAAAACTAACAATATTTGGCAGTAACAAAGTTCAACGCAAAGTAAAACGTGCATACTTATTCATGAAAAGGTTTAAAACCAATTCGTGAAAACGTTAACCAACTATAATGAGTAATAATTAGGTGTAATTATTCGAGTTCAAAACATCAAATCCAAAAGTAAGGATTTCAAGACCAAGCACTTATTTTCCAGTGTGAAGCGAAGCCTGAGAGACTGAAAACCAAATGTTTGAAATCCCCCAATCTGACGTTGGGAAAGCCCCCAGCATGAAGTTGGGAAAACCCCCAGGACCCCTGGATACCAGTTTGGAAAGCCCCGGGATTCGGGGGTTTGAAATTGACATCTTGCATTTTCAATGGTCTTCCCACGGGCACTTTCCAGTTCTAGGACCGGTTCCGAGAATATTCAGGAAGTAGTCGATCCTCAGTAGTTTAACTGAATTACGTAACCATATAATCCCAAAAAACCCGCAAACTAGTTTTATTTTCTAGATTGTTCCGCCCGCATCTCCCTGGCAGTTCCTGGTACGGGCAGTGCGGGCTCAAAGGAACTCGTGCAAATTGCGTATTTTCTTGAAAGAACTCAAAATGGCCTCCCAGTGAATTATTAGCGAACCGAAACACGATTTTAAAGCAAGTTTTCTTCACGGAAGTTGATGACTCGACAGTTTATTGTACCTTTAATGAAAACTGGGTTATCGTTTTATGTTCTAGCAACATTTTTGGCGCTGTAGATACGAGTTTTGGCCTGAAACTTTTTGTTGATATTGAGGTACCGATTAATGACTGTGAATGGGTGCATTCCTTGACAAACCGAAGATAGAAAAGCGAACGAACGCTGGCAGGGGCAATGGGTTGCGATTTGCGACCTCGGCAATGCAGGGTTGGCGAGTTGAGATGGAGGACGCCGATTCTGCGAGAATAGGATTACCGAACGGCTTCGATTCTTGGTCGTTTTTCGGAGTTTTTGACGGACATGCTGGAGCTTATGTCAGCAAATACTGCTCCGAACATCTTCTTGATGCGATCGTTTCGAACGAGAACTTTGCGAAGGCGGGTGAAAAATCGCAAGCCAACGGCAAACAACTGTCTGACGAGTACACGGAGCTTGCTAAGGAGGCAGTACGGGCATCCTTCATCGATTTAGACAAGAACATACGAAACATTATAGACGAAGGGGAGAAAAGCGGTTCGACTGCCGTTGTCGTGCTTGTGTCCCCATCGCATGTGTACTTTGGCAATTGTGGCGACTCGCGGGCAATATATTGTCGAGATGCAAGGCAGGCGTTTGCAACAGCCGATCATAAACCAGTCAACCCCGAAGAGAAAAGCAGAATCGAAAAAGCTGGGGGGAGCGTGATGATTCAACGCATAAATGGCTCGCTGGCAGTTTCGCGTGCTCTTGGCGACTTTGAATACAAAATGGAGCCGCAGTTGTCGGCAACCGAGCAGCTTGTTTCGCCCGAGCCCGAAGTGTCTTGTTTAAGACGAGAAAACGGCGATGAATTCTTACTTTTGGCTTGCGATGGAGTTTGGGATGTTATGACTAACGATGAAGTGATTGGGTTTATACGAGCGAAAATGTTGATTTCTGATGATCTAGTTTTTGTTTGTAATGAGCTCATGGATACGTGTCTCGCAAAAGTAAGAGATTTGCATTTTTTTAATCTAAAACTATTCAATTCCCCTCTAATTTTACACACCTAAACCCGGTTTACGTTTTGAATATTAGAACTTCGAGAGCAAATAATCGTGAATTTCAAACGTTTGTCAATTTCATGATATTATATTTCACGGCTATATTTTTGATAAGGGCCACTTGCCTTGCTAAAAAATATGTAAAACTTTATCCCTCATAATAAAACATTATCTTTTTCGATTAATTTATGCGATTGTTTTAATATTATTTTGCTGTTTGCTTCAAGGAAGCCATTTACTGCAAGTTTGCGTCGATTTCATGAGAACGTTGTCGATTTCACGACTTTCGTTTTGTGCACATTTCGAGGAAAAGCAGCACGCGTTTCCCGTTGCAAATGACATCAAACTAAGCTCATGTGATTTGTCTGGGGTTTCAGTTGAAATGTGGTTCTCGTATTTCTTAGCGTTTCCTGAGAAATTCTGTAATAGTATCGAGGAAGTAAAGTTATTCATCAATTTTGTCAAAATGTGCTGCAATGCTGTGTCGCAATGATATTGAATAGTTGATGTCAGTTTCACCTGTTTGCACTATTTATAGACGTGGATAATTTCCTATGTTGACTTTATTGTCAGATTGTAGGTTTCATTACATATTATTTAAGTTTGATGAAGTTTGTGGATTTCTCATTTATTGCATAATATGCTTTCTTTGTCTAATTCTGGCAATGAGTCATGCAGATGAGGCCCTTTTAATGTCCGTTTACATGCAGCAATTTGTCTAGTTTTCCTGAATTTTAATGACAAATATTTTCAGGTGATGAGGCCATCAGATGAGATTTGTCACCTATACCTAGCTAAACATCTTGACACTTAGATAAAGTTTATATATGTATGTATGCATCTAAAATTGGCTCGACAAATTGCAAAATGATTTCAGATGCAGGTTAATGATATCTGACAAATATGTGTCAAACCTCATCTGACAACCTCGCATGTCACCTTGCCAACTACACATATTTCTCACTAACATTCACCAAAACCTAAAATCAGCTGAACAAACTGTGACATGCCAGAGCTCCGAGGTTTTTTGGTCAGCCAGAGTTGCGATGCTTTCTCCCAGCTCTGGCTTGGACCGTCCGAATGACAAGAAATGTGGCAATTTCATAGAATTAGTATTGGTTACAAATAATGGCAACATTGAATTCGCTGAAAGTATACATATACATCTGACCAATCATGTCTACTTCTTTCAGGGAAGCCGAGACAACATGAGCGTTATACTAGTTGCATTTTCCAATGCACCGACGCCTTGTACAACAGCCATTGAAAAGGTAAGTCATCAGTGTTCGTTAGTATTTATAATGTCTATGTAAAAATCTCTTAAAGATCCCGTTAAAAGAAGCTTTAATTTGTACATGATTTTACTAGGCAGCTGCGATATTGAAAAAAATCAATATATCGATATCGAAAAAAATTATCGATAATGTCGACTATATTGAATTATGCAAATGAGAAAACGTAATTTAGTTTTCAGAAACACAAACAGTTAAAAAGAAGTGTGTGTTATTTTGATACCTCGTTTTTAAACGTGCGTCAATATGCTTTTCTCTGTTTTCTCTTCTCACACACTCAATTTATCTACCATTTTGGGCGGTGCTGCCCCTAACTATTAAATATGAGATGTAAGCACTGTAAAACACAAATTTTATAAGTATATGTAGTTGTGTGTATAATGGTAATTTGACATTCAGAACTTTGAAATGACACTTTTCACTTTGTTTTATTTGTCTGTATTAGTTGACGAGGGAAGATATAGTAGTACCTCAAAAATGGGGGACATCTGCCTTTGTGACAAAAGCTAATTGCACTTTATATTTGAATAATTCCCAAACTTTAGCTGCTAACAGTTTCAAGCTATTCCCAACAAACCAAAAAATAAGGAAATCTTAATGTTAAAAAACATTAAATCTTAATGTTAATAAACATTAAAATATGTATAAATTACAGACCACCTCTCTTAGGCAGACACTCCTTTTGAGCCAACAAATAGTTCCACTCCCAGTGTTAGTAAAATGCTCTCATTAATTAAAACCTGTATTAGGCAGACACATCTGGGAGGTCCCATATATTTTTCACTTTCAATTTGTGGGGAAAATTATTATAATAATGTATAATTAATGACATTCAATTTCATTTATTGGAAATTTACATTTCTTTTTTTTTTTCAATTTAAAAATTACAGGAAAAGGAGTTAAACAAACATTTAGAAGAGCTTGTCAAAGGTACTGAGATATATCAAACATTTATACAATACATTGATTAAGCCATATATGGTTTCTCTGTTGGGCTTCCTTGCCACTGGCTTACATATTATATATCTCTATAAAATCTTATTTTTTTGTACTACGAATATGTGAATGTATGTGCAGTGTATATATGTATGCTGGTAGTGAATCAAATAAATATCAACTGCTATTACCGGTACGCCTTAAAAAGTTGTTTGGTTCCAGTCTCCCAACTGATCCTACATCTTGTGACACCCAACCCTGTTTTATAACTTTTTTCTCGCAAAAATTTGAAAATCATTTTCACATGCTAGTATTCATACAAAGCAGGAGAGTCTCAAAATCCTCTCGTAGTTTGGGAAACTGATTTAGGGATTGAGACAGAATTCTGACACCTACAGAAAGATCTGTCAAAACTGGCTGTGATATATGTTAGAATTTCTCTAATTGTGGGAAAACAAACTCCGGAAAGAGACGTTTGTCTGATGTTAGAAAGAGTAAAATAATATAAGAGGATGCACAATGGATGTCATGATTCTGGTGTCTTGAACAGACTATTTTGTTGTTTAGATATTTCATCCAAATGTGATCCTGAAGAACTTGATTTAACGCACGTCATGCAGACATTGGCCAATGAAAATATTGATGGACTCCCTCCCGGTGGCGGACTGTCATCAAAGTAAGTCATTTGAACATTCTGGAGAGAGTAGGCTGTTGTGGTTGTGAAAAAATACCTATATGGAAATAAATGTACAAGTAATGTATGTAGATATAATGGTAGTGACTTTTTTATCACTCCAGAAAATTGCCATATTTTTAACCTAATTTTTGGAAAGTATGCAAACAAACAGTAACTCTCCAGAACTTAAATGTTGTTCACACTACAGCATTACGTAGGTGTTGTCGTCAACATTTGCGGACATTAAATGAAACAAAGTTTTGATGCATTCACAAAGTAGTACATTTCTTTTTGAATGAAAACTTATGCCACTTTATTTTACATTAAAATAAGGAATTTTATCTTCTTTTGTTGTTTATTTATTTGTTTAGCTTTGCCAACTAGGGCAGGATTACCGCAACAGCATATGCCAATTACTGTGGGCCCTTTTGCCTAACCCTCCCTGTCGACTTACCCTCCCTGTCGACTTACCCTGGGGGGGATACCGGAGTACCCGGAGAGAACCCACGACTTTCGGCAGAGCGTTGACCCTTCGCTCTTTTCGCATGAGGGCTGGGTTTGAGTCGCATTGGGAAAGTTCTCACTGAGGCTTAGACCTGTGGCCTTAGAGGTGCAAGGCAAGTGCGCTGACCACTTGGCTACCGAAGCCCCCATTAGCCTGAATGAATATGATATGCATTTCTTCACTAGGCGAAACTTAATCGAAGCAACATTAAACCAAGTGAAAGGAGAACGTGGTTTGAAAAGTGATACATGAACACCGTTGCCTTTTACCTTATTGGTAAGTTCTGTTGAAATAGCATGTATTTGTTTTAAGTCTGTATGGAGTTTAACCCATTAAGCTGCAGAGCTTCCCCATTGACGAGTAAAATCAATCGTCTGGCGTTAGACAAGTAAAAAATAAGTAGGGCGTACTGGGGCTCAATAGGTTAATGTCATTGAACCAGCAAAAAACAGTATTTTAAAATCGTACTGCTGTTGTATTTATAGCTTTTTATGATATTTTCAATGATACAAACTGTGGTCTCTAGTAAAAGTGAACTTGAAATTTCACCTTCTTTGAATATAGAGATTTATTAGACAATTTTATAAAAAGTACTTTTAGTTATTTAAATCTTATTGTCACATGAATGAGCCAGATTTGGTGCTTTCTTCACAAATGGACCATTTGCATTATAGACTATAGATAATATAGCCTTGCGAAGTTTGCCGTTTTTCAGTCATTTTGTATTACGCACGGGAAATTGACAGCCCAATCGGGTGTTGGGGCATCAATTTCCCGTTTGTAATACAAAATGACTGAAAATTGCAAATTTCGCAAGGCTGTATTATCCGCATTCTACAACATTTCGCAACGAAACTTTGGAATATTACTAATTTTGTGATGCTCTTTCAAGCTGTGATGAAATTTTTGTCTAGATCAAAATTTAGTCTATAATGCAAATGGTCCATTGCATGATTTTCTGACCTAGTATAATCTGGACCACGTAGCTTTTTGGTTCATATCTCCGCCTTTCTAATACCCTATCTTGCTTTAATTTTCTCCAGATTTTCTCCCAACTAAAGACAGAAATGGCCTATTTGCTGGTAAAAATCAAAAGAAACAAACATTATTCTATAGTGTCGATTTGTATTAGATGTTGATAATGGTTTGAAACTGTTAGCGGCAGAACATTAGCATCTAGCATTGTTTCTAATAAATACGAGGAAATCTGGTGACGGTACAGTCGTGCAACAATTATTTCCTTTCTATAAACCTGCTTCAAGGCCTCGCTTTCTTTGACTTCTGTATAGCTCCACTACACTCTGTGTAACATGAAGTGACAGTGCTTTCGAAACCATGCGCTGACTAGGAAATACTTTTGCAGAAACCTTGTTTCCGTAGCCAATAGCCACGTTTTCTGGAAGTGGGCAAACCAGGGAACAATGTTTCCGCAAAAGAACTCAAAACTAGGGGATATTCACATGATCCCGGTTTGCTGAAATGGGGTGGAAGGTGGGATGAAAAGTTAACTGAAAGAACTCAAATGTTGTCGGGACTACGGGAAGATCTCGTATTTCAAGAAGACTACCAGTGCTGTTTGAACAACCTTCACGTCCTTTCGTTTACAATTTTTTTTATAATCTATCACCAGAAAAATGTAGTTTTTCTGAATTTTGCACCGTCACTTATTTCAATACATCAAAATCATCTCGCTGCACCATCTCGTCCTGGGATCATGTACAGCCCCTTACGATGAATTTTGGCCGGAAAAAAACAAAGGATAACTAATTTGCAATTCATCTAATGTCATCGTATCCGGAAACTTTGGCAGTGAAAAAGTTGATCAAGATGAGGGGTTTTTACTATAAAGATATATTACATTTCTGCGTAGAGTGACCCAAATATTACACATACCAAAGATCATGTTTGGAGTTAGGAGCACTTTATGTTTTCGAGTGAGCTGGCTTTCCATTAGGCGAATTTGTTCGCGCGAAGCGACTTTTTCATTGGCCGGAATCGCTTTTGCTTACGTGCAGGGTAAGCAACAAAATTGCTGCATCTTGCAACAAAATCTGATTTCTACGCATGTTAATTGGAAATGTTGACACATAAGTGTACATTATAAATCACGACGCAACATGTGTCAACATTTCTACTTAACATGCGTTGAAATCAGAATTTATTGTCGTATTACTCCAGCTTTAGTGGAGAACTGGCATTACTGGAGCCATATATACAGAACTCAGTGAGACTTGAAGCACTTCTGTATAGGGGAAAGGGTTGTTGTGTGTACAGTACACATACGCTTGGTGTTTTTCTCAATTGATTAGTAGGAATTATTTATATCCTGCTCGTTGCTAATGTATCTCTAGCCAGCCATGTTGACTGAAAGTAAAATTTATTCCTTGTCGTAAACGCATCTTGTTTTGTAGTGCATTTAAGCCTTGATCAAATGGGGACGAGAGTTAAGCCTACCGCACACGAGAGCAACTTGCTGAGCTAACCGCATCGCGTGGCAGCTAGCTCAGCAAGTTGCTCTCGTGTGCGGATAGTTTTCGTGAGGAATTGACCTCTCGAGGCCTTGAGGAAAATATCTATCGTGTTTGATATTTTTCACCTCGCGAGGAAAAAATCTCAAAGTCTGCGGATGTTGTGAGCTTAGTGCTGAGCTGCTTGAATCAATTAGCCAAAGTTTGATCGCTTCAAAAGAAAGTTTGGTCGCTTCAAAAGAAAGACTTGTCGTAATGAATGATAGTTTAGTCGTAGGAAAGAAAGTTTTGTGTGACACTTGTGGGCCACCGTACAATTATGTTGTTGCATGTTGAGAAGTTTTCCCGACGTGTGCGGTGAAAATGCCGCCACTCGAGGCGGTTAGCTCAGCAAATTTCTCTCGTGTGCGGCGGGCGAGCGAGAGTTTGCATGTGAGTTTTCTCAATTCTCATGCTGGGCCATGATGCCCTGGTCAAACGAGAATGAGAGTGCATGAGATGAGTAAACTGGATATACCGCGCGGGTAGCGAAAACTCTCATCTTAAGCCTCGGTGAACTCTACCCTGGTTGCCAGAGGTTCTCGTATCGGGAATAAGGCGAAAGATACGAGAACCTCTGGCAACCAGGGTACGGTGAACTCTCGTTTGACCGCCAACTCTCTTGCACTCTCATCAACTTTTAACTGGTTCAAATTTTGATGAGAGTTTTCGCTTTGTGCGTGGTAATATCCAGTCAATTCTCATGCAACTCTTGTTCTCGTTTGACCGAACCATGTGAGTTGAGGAAGCTCTCATGCAAACTCTCGCTTCCAACTCTCATTTCAGATTTTGGTGAGAGTTTTGCCTGTTTGACCTGTAATATCATATGTCAGCTCTCATTAACTCCCATGCAACTCTTGTTCTCGTTTGACCGGAGCATGAGAGAGTTGAGAAAATGCAATTCTTAACTCTCAAGGGATTGGTTGCAAGCCACCAATCGAAGCTATTTCAAATACCATTGTTAGCATATATTCAAAAGCATACCAGTTATGAAGCATAGTGCTTCAAAATTTGTAATGCTAATTTTATGGGCGTACTGAACGGCGTGGCTGCTTCGAAGCTCGTCTTCGCTTACTGCCAGAAAATATTGTTATTTGAAAAACAAGAAAATGAGAGAAACCATTTCGTGGTATTTACACATTTGAAGTGTAATTAATGTTGCCACTTGTTAGTGGCTCGAAGATAGCATCGCGGTTTGTCGGCTCCTAAGACGAAACGGCTGTATTCGAAAGGTACCGTGTATAGTTGTTTAAACATGCATCTTAATATTTAACATGGGAAATTGCTTGGACCTAAAAGGTGTCTGATAGAAAACTGCTATTAAAACATACGTATGTATGTTAATGCGACTGAACAACGCACTTACAACTTTATTGTCCTCTTAAAGCCTTGAGGCAGTGCATGTGTTGTGTAAAGCCGGTTTTCCACTTCAATCGTAACGTATCGTAGCTTTTTCTTTGTGTTGAAGTCATTAGTTCCACACTACCGTTCAGGAAACAAAGAAATACGCTTCGGTACGATTGAAGTGGAAAACTGGCTTAAAGCAGTATCCGTAGACGAATTGAGGGCTTGGCCGGTTGACTCGAGTTTTATTACGCCTGTATAGCACAGAATAGGAAGGTACAACAGAAGTGTAACTTGAGTCGGTTCACGTCCACGAAAATTTTAACTCGCTCACGCCATCCTGGCTAGTACAACCGGAAGTTTTTATCAGGTTTTGGTAGGTACAAAGTGCCAGTTGTACTAGTCAGGATGGCGTGATTGATGACGAATTGCTTGTAAAAACGCGGACAAATACTTGCTTGAGTTACACTTCTGCTATACCTTCCTATTCTGTGACTATAGGACACTGAAATGCCCTGATCAGAGTATTTTGACTGAAAAACCTAACCCATCCACAGCGACTCAACATTTTGACTATAATGACTCAAATTTATGAGCAAATATACAGTACTCGATTTTTTGAGCGAAGTTTCAAACTTCTCGATGTTTTGAGGAAAGAAAATTCACTCAAAAAAATAAGTAAATTTGTATAAATTTGCATGAGTAATTTATTACGCATTATTTTACTCAAATTTTTTAGTCAAAATTTTTGCAGTGTAGTGACTACCTTTATCAGCATACTCATGAAGCAACAAGCACATTCCACTGTAGCATTTTATGTCTGAAACCGCATTGTATTTGCTGCAAAAATTGTCTCGTGTTACATGGCTTTTTTAGTGATCATTGATTGCATTTCTGCGGCCATGAAGACCTTGTGGTTGGTTGCCCGCCATGCATTAATTGCTTTTAAAATGACGGTAGACCGTCTATCAATTATTGAACCGTTCTTTGTTGAGCAACCAGAAATTGTACACATTTTATTAGCTATTTACATTCCATACCCAGCTTGACCACACTCTTGTAAAAGTCATCTTAAGCCTAGGATGGTGTTTTTGTCTTTGTTAATTTTTGAAGCAATTCCTGCCCAAGATTTGTGGTAAATTTTTCAATAATACTCTCGTTGCCAGATTTCACTGCCAAATCGTACGCGGATTCACCGGCTTTGTTCGTTAACTTTGTGTCTGCGCCACACCTGAATGAAAAAGACATGGCTCGATTAGCTTCCTTATGCAAATTTCAATTCCCACTTGCAAGAAAAAATACGCTGTCGAAATGTTTCGCCTCATGAAATGATCTCATAATAGACTGGTAGACATAGACCCAATTGAAAATGATCTCGTCACAGATTGGATAGACGCAATTGAAAATGATCTCGCGATAGATTGGATAGAAGCAATTGAGAATGAAACTGATCTCGTAACAGATTGGATAGACCCAATCAAAAATAAAATCATCTCGTAACAGACTGGATAGAATGAGCCCAATTCGAGAGACTTTGGAGCAGTTTTTTTGAAAAATTGCAGTCGAGACTCTAAATTTGCCTATTCTAAAGTTGGGCGAAAGGATAGCAACGTTATGAACAAGCATTGGCTATGTTTTTCTTACCCCAAAAGAACGTCAATACATTGTCGTGCATTGGAACCTTGTAGAACGGCCTCGTGTAGAGCCGTGTTGCCTTTGCTGGAATAAAGAAAGATTGATAAACGTAAACTAGTTATACTAGAGTACCATCTAGTTACAATTCAGTGATCGCAATGTTCCATTGTCACTGTTTTGAAAACCCCGTATCCACCCATTGTTCTGACTTACGCAAAGGCCAATTCATGACATAAAAACTGGTACCTTCGCGGCTAATTTGAATAACAAAGGTGTCAATTTTTTTTTTACTCACCCTGTATTTATCTGAAATGCTTGGTTACCTTTGTTCCATTCCATGCTTATACATTAAGAACAGATTGTATAATTACTATAGGTAAGTGAGTTACACGAAAAAGTAAATTTGGTGACAACGGGTATATAAACATACGAAGCCTATTAGGTCCACAAGTAAAAAGTTGGGGCTGAGCAAAGATGGTTCTGTCTCCTCATCGACTTCGACTAAACCTTGACTAAATGCAAATATATAAATCAAAACGATGGATGCATGAGTGGATGGCATGGCGAACAGTGGGATTTTCAAAACAATGAAACAGCAATGTCAATGGAACATTTCGATCACTGAATCGTGACTTAGTTGCACTATTCTGATGCTAAATGTTATGAAAAAGGGCTAGCCTAAGTATTAGGCCATATTTTCCTTTCCTTAAATGCTTGTGGCTCAGGCTAGAAAACAACTCGTAGTCATCTAAAAGTTCTCAATATACCTCGCGGACTGATGATTCAGTTCAGCTCCTTCGTTTACTAACAAGGGAATACAATCAATGTGATTATGAAGAACCGCCATGATCAGAACTGTGACACCATCAGCATTTTCTGCGTTCACGTCAGCACCCTGGAAATACACGAAAGATTACGTGATGTTCATCATTGAACTTGAACCGTCAGCAGGTGTTTCACAAAGGTTATAGTCACAATTTACAGCGCTATAAGGTCACAGGAACGCTAACAAGGGAGGGGGTGGGGGCTCTGAAAGGGGGGGGCGAAGTGACAAGGTGCGGAGGAAAGTTCCAATATTAAGTTATTTCCAGCGTGCTCCTTTGGGTGGTCCACAAACCACGGCAACTTACAATTGAGTTACAATAAGACGACGTCATCCAAAACATGACAATCTACCTCGCTTATAAGACGTTCAATTTCTTCTGGGCTGCCTTCCCCAGACTTGCTGAGTTCTTTAAACAGTGACCGCGTTTCGCTCTGTGAAAAATCAACTTTTAATGAAAACATGAAAATACCACAGTTACGTTACGAGCAAACAGAACAATTTATCAATATGAAACAAACAGGAGCAAGTTCAACTACCGATAAAACAGTTTCCTTTGATTTATTTACAGCCGGTTTCTTTTTTGTATTTCGTTTTGTTATTTTCTTTTTGCCTTGACTTCCAGAGCTACCTGTTTGAAGAAAGCAGAAAAAAACTGTTAAAGTCAACTGGAAATATTTTTTCCAATCGATATTTTTTTCCACACAATATTGGACATAACTGGTTGAGACTTGATTAATTCCATGTTAAATCATGTTTCGCTTCTTAAACCCTCGCTCCCCCCCCCCAAAAAAAAAAATCATTGTTGAGCTTATACCATGATAAATTACAGAAAGTTGTTTCGCCGCTGTTTACAACATTGAACCCCAGGAGAGGGAGTGATAAAGCTTGTTTTGGTAATGTGTATTAACTTTGGAACAATAGGCAGGAATGGTCTCAAAGGTTCTGTCCAAGATTGTAGCTATACGTTCAATAGGAAAACATACCAACGCTACTTGAGCTCGCTTCTAGATCAAGTTTTTTTCCAATCCGTGTGCTGGAGGTATCTAAGTAAAAATACATCCATATTTAAAAAGCCTGAGTACCGATGGCCGATGCATGGTCAGAATTTTCATCACACAAATTTTCTAAATTGACAGTCGTGTAGCATTCTATTGCATGAATAATATGACATTACCTTTGTTGGAGAGGTTTGATTTACTATGTACATTGTCCTAAATTTTAAAAAGTGAAATTTTAGAAACACATCCGAATTCATGAGATTATAGAATTGATCATGGAACTGGGTTATATACTGTACAGAAAACGCTATTGCGATTAGAAACTGTTCAGGAAGATTTGTGGCAAATCAAGGATCATAATTGATAATTTAAATCAAGGATCTTGTGTGATCCTTGATTTAAATTAAAAACACAAAATTATTTAATACAGATGTGAAAGTTTCAGAAAAACAAGATTTGTGGCGTTGAACAGAAGGCTGGGTATATGTTGGAATCCGTCCGCCACAGCACGGCTGTTAACGTACTGTAGTTGAAGATTTGAAGCAAGAACATGCTTAAATAGAAACTTACATTTTGGCGTCGGGTAAAGGTGACGGTTAACGTCAATTCTTCTCCTTCAAAATCTTCATGCACCGTTGTAGCAACAAGCTGGTAGAAAATACAAAACATCAGATCAGACAGTTTTATGGTTTACGACCAAATTAGCATAACCAAATCTTCTTAAGATTGTACCATAACTAAACCAGCATTACCTAAATGCTCTTACCTTGCCAATTCTTGGTTCTCCGATCATGGCTCGGAACTCTGGGTTATTTTGAGCATGCGCTCTCAAATGCGAACATACATGATCCATCTGTTGCCGCCAATAGCCTGAAACATGAATCATACAACAATGTTGAAGACAGTACACCCAATGGCGAGACAGGCGAGTGGTTGTAAATCTGAGATACAGATCGGATGCAGTGGCTAACACCAGGGTAGGAGAAGCGCAGGCACCACTGCTCCCTCCTCGATCACCGCCAACCCCCCCCCCCCCCCCCCCCCTTATGAAAGCCTTTGAATTGAATGCTGATTAAACATTTATTGCGTTTGGGCATTACACCTGCGCACTACCTACCTCTGCCCGGACTCACAGCGCCCAACAACGGTTTCCTATCCCGAAGATGTTCTACCCTGGCTCTCTCATCAGCTTCCATCTTTTGTTGCTTATTAAGTGAAGTACTTGACGGATAAAACAAACCGCCGGTCTGAGTCGCTTGATTTGTAGTCTCGCAAGACAGTCGAGGCACGTCCACTGGAATCCATGTTGTTAGTTTACTTGAACTCAGTTTCTAAATAAACATGAGGAGTATCCGTTGGTTAGAGCACTGCACCGGAATCCCAGGGCCGCAGGTTCGATTCCTGCCAGAGGGCCAGTATTTTTCGCAACTGCTCCTGGTTTATAGGTTTAAATAAATATTTCAAAAACTCATTAATAACTCATGAAGCAATTATCCAATCTAGAGTAAGAAATTAGTCACGTGCATACGTCTTTATACTAGCTAAAGAACACTTTAACAAAAGACCATTGTTATGCAAACTATATAAAGATTTTTATATAAAGATTTTTATATAAAGATTTTTATATAAAGATTTGACTTATTATGCAAACGTTTTTGAAGCCATTTAAAAAACTCGCAGGTCGTGTTTTATTAGGTCTAAAGCCACTCGCGCTGCGCGCTCGTGGCTTTAAACCTAATAAAACACTCCTGCTCGTTTTTTAAATAGTACATAAAAATTTACACTCGAAATTTCCATCTACAAAGCCTTTCCAAACAAACACCACGTCGAAATCAGTAATACGGTCAAACTTCTCCCTCCGGGCATCTCTTCAAGTAAGAGACCTCATCATTACGAATAACATTATCTATTTCAACACCTCTCTATTACGACATTTTTTTAAAAAAAATTCCAAATGTTCTCAATATATCGACATGCATAATCCTCATATATTTTCTATTAAAAACATGACACGTCTCCAGAAAAGTTGTGTCCTCCTGGCAGAAAAGGCAGGGTGTAATGTGTTATAATGTACTAACCTCTCGAACTCTGCCTTTTTCAACCAAAGTGCCAAGGACCGAATCTATCTTGCTGCAGAAAAGATGGTCGAGATTAAGTACAGTGTACGTCATCTTAGCGGGAAAAAAATACCACCTCACATACTGTGTACGTATGTCGACAATGCACATGTTTTAAAGCTAGTTTACACTATAAATGTTTCTGTGACTATAATGCTCTTAAATGGGTTAACTAGTATATCCTTGGTCACTTGACAGTCACCAGAAGTTAACGCACTAAGGGCAAGAGCCATAGAAATAATAGACTTTTTCCCATTTTAAGTCCCGATATAAAATTTTTTGCAAACTTTTCAGTTGAAATAACAATTCGCACTCCCTGCAACCGCGCGAAATTCTGTCTCCAGGTTGTGCTCCCAGGAAGAAAATTATTTTTTTCTGCCCTGTACGAATCTCTATTCAGCTTAATGCGCCAGATCATCCTCTTCACTTAGTTGATAAACTGGGTAACATATTAACTGACAAAAGGTTTTTTTAATTTATGGCTCACCTTGTCCGCGGTGGAGCTTCTATATGGCACGCACACGAAGAACAGAACTTGGAGTAAGGTTGGTTATTTCCATTACATCTTGAACAAGTCAAATAACTGGTGTACGGCACAGGCTAAAATAACAAGTAGACATTATATGTTGCGTTTTTGTCTCTGAGTGTGTCCAGGTCGCTTATGAGAGGCATCCCCCCTGGACGTCCGCCATTTTGAATATAATCAGGGGGTGAATGCCTCTCATGAGCGCACTGGTTAGGACCATGGCGTCAGCATTTTGATGACGAATTACGGTTACTTCAAAATCATAGGAAAAACCAAGGAGTCAGGCTTCTGTATAGTCTCTATTCTGTGACCAAAGTCACTAAGAATCATACCTTTGAACCGCACCAATCGCAGAAGCGTGCCTCACCACTGTTCACACGGAAACAGCTTGAACACGTGATCAGAGCGTCGTATTCTTTGGGTAGCGGTGGAGCAGACACCTTTGACGGAACTTGCTGCAAACATAATTTTGAAAAAGTCTATTTTTTCCGCTCCTTTTTTAACGGTTACAAGTATGAACACACATTTGCGATGCCAGCCGGCGGGGAGAGACAGGGGAGATTTGTGCCTGATCCCCAACTTACGAGGGACAGAAAATTGAACAGACCCGGGGCTTTCAAAATAACCCAGCAGGTGCCACGAGGTTTACCACTTCTTCTCCTTCCTCCACTCTAAGCTTTCAAACAAAGTTATTTTCCTCAACCTGGTCTACTCTATTGTCTAATTATTTTTGAAAGCAACGTACTATCTTAAACATTGAAGCTATCTTGTTGAAGAATGATACATTATAATTTGGTTCCAGAGCTCAGTTGCGTTGCTATCTAATCAATATACACCAGTAAATTTGGGCGACTTTGAAACATCGTAGACCGCTCCTCTCCCTACAGCTTTATCAAAACAGACACCCACTCAGAATAATTCTGAAAGCCCTGACAGACCCCACCCAGTTCCTGTTGTGGTCTCTATCAAGTTCACTCTCAAGCTGAGTCCTGCTCTCAAAATGAGGCCCCTCTTCTTCAAGTCTCGCGCCTGGCAGCTTTACCTTAGACAGCACAATCACATTTTTTTCTTTACCTTGGACTTAAGTGGTAATTGACTCTCACAAGCAATGCATCTTGTCATATCTGCTGGATTCACAGTGTCACAGACATCGCACACTAGCTTATCCTAAAATGTAAAAGGTAATTTGTATATTCCATCAGTTCGTATAGCCTGCTCGCAGCCTGAAATTTAGAAAGGGGGAAATTTTACAGACATCGCACACTATCTTATCCTAAAAAGCAAAAGGCAATTTGTATTCCATCAGTTCGTATAGCCTGCACGCAGCCTGAAATTTAAAAGGGGTAATTTTCTCCCTTCAAAATTTCAAGCTGCGAGCAGGCTACAGTTCGTAATGATGCATATCATTAGTGAGTTTAGACCAGTGAACTCTATATATATATATCTGGAACGATAACATTCAGTCATTTGATTGTGAAAACAATGAAGCCTCGATACCAGTCTTTCACGCGGATTGGACGTCAGTCTCAGTCCCTCAAACGTCAGGTTTACGCGGATTGGACGTCAGTTTCATTCCCCCTCTGCAAACCGTTGCACGGCCAGTATAAATTTGAACGCAATCACGAAAAAAAAAATTAAAAACATGGCCAACTCAATGCAATACATTGTAGGAGCAAACTGTTTTGCTCCTAAAATTTACTGCATTGAGTTCGCTGTCGGAAAAAAGTCCAGGAAAACTTCGCCGTCTGGAGAAAAGAATCACTTTTTCAAATATATTGTGTCGTACTGTCGTTCTGGATGCACAACGAAAGAGTCAAAGAGATATTCTTGCGAGAAAATTTCATTTCACAGGTAGGTAAATTGACTTGCAACTGTGACTTTGCCGTTGCCATTTTCGCGATTGTTTGAATTGTTTTTTAGTTTACCAGTTTTATAGTTTTTAGTCAATACACTGGTACGTTATTTTTTAAAGAATTTATTGTGTGATCGGAATTTGCCTGCCAGCAAAATGCAAATGAATATGTACGTGTGTTTGAATATAAATTAGACCATATGGGCTTAGTAAGAATTATTTTAATAAATACGTTTCGGAGTATAACTCCATCTTCAGGTTTATAAAAGTCAATAAAGATATAAAAACTGTGATAAAAACTTTCAAAACAATTACAAATTTTATATGTAAGTGATTTTTAATACTGAAGAAAGTTCTTGAACAGTTGATGACGAAGACAGTGACGAATACTTTATGTCGTGATTTTTCTGTCGGCTTCACTTTTCGCTCGCTGTTATCGTTCCAGATATATATATATATATATATATATATATATATATATATAGAGTTCACTGGTTTAGACTTAACTTCCACTACCACCACATTTTACTAAGTATGCATGTGATTGGTTGATCGGGTAGATTAAACGCACCGGATTGGTTAATAATTCCTTAATGGTGGCGGTAAAAATAGACTAAATTAATTGCTAATTACCAGTGATCTGGGTGATCCCTTTGGTATACGCTGTGGTGACATTGCCGCTTCACAAACTACACACGTCGGAGCGTTGAGAGGAACCATTGAATGACAGATCTTACACAATGCGAGCTAAATTGGAAGAACAGGGACAGTTGTTAGATGTTTTCACCCTGTAGTAACACTGGACCAAGAAGAGACCCCTTGCCAGAACTCCAGGGAGAGAATAGTTTGGTACTGATAGAGCAATCAAGAATAAATAAAGCATAAGTCGCCTTTCCTTTCTGGCCAATTCTGAGCTTCAAACGTAAACGTCACATTTTCACCAATTTTACCTTTTCAGAATGTGGTGGAGGCAGTCTCGTAGAAGATGGTTGAGGTAATAACGAGCCACAGTCATTGCAGTATGTTGAGTACGGGTCCGATGGCCGAGGAGCAAAACAGTAAATACATCTAAAGCAAAGTAAGTGAGAAATCAATGTATTGTAGATCCGTTGATGGCACATGCAGTAGTTTATGGCCTTTTAACTTTGTGAGTGGGGTTTAATTACTGCACTATGCAGCTTCATGATTGATAATTTTGTCTCTTTACCAAACATGACATGTGTTCTCCACTTTCTTCCTGTATTTATACAGTATCATAAGGGAATTCCGAGCGGAAGATTATATATAATTTTCGGCTCAGTCACGTACTTGCTAAATTCTGCCTCGGGCGGTCCTCTGTCGCGGCTATCTTGAAATGAACCTCCATGAGAACGATCCAAAAGTAAGCTCAAATACTAACAAGGCAATAATCAACAAATAATTAACAACTATGAGAGGTCTAACAAGTGTAATTTCCTCTGAATGTGGACAATATTAGACAAACACAGGCAACATTTGGAGAATTTTTTCGTGTGAAATGAACAATTTTACCTCGGGCGATTGAACTTCTTCACGTCTGCCAAATCTAAAAGTGAATGTTTAGTTCATAAAATTTTGTTCTATACTTACTTAGAGGAGATTATACTTACTAAGAGGAAGATTTTTTGTATGTTACGTATAGCTGACTAACGAGAGTATAAAGCCGGCCTGTACAGAAGAGCATGTTTTCCTTGACAAGTTTCTTGACGAGTTTACTTGCTCGTGTGTCCGAAACCACACTTTAAAATAAACGAGATTTAATGGCAAGCGCCTCAAAGATGGGAGACGTACTGCGCTTTTTTAACTTTTCCTTGACGGCCGTACACTTCAGCTGTTTGTGCAAAAGCTGGTATATGCGGACTAGCTTTTGAACAAGGCTTCTTGTCAAAGAAAAAAATGTAAATTTTTGCTGTACATACACACGAACAAATAAAACTTGTCAAGAGAATCTCTTCAAAGAAAACGTGCTCGTATAAACCACTTGGTTATGGCAACATTTCGTACGTTTCTCAATCGGCAAATGAACTTAAAAAGTATGCTCTCAATTTCTCTGCGAATATTTTCTAAACAACATCATGGCTCTGTATCAGAAATTGCGTTGAAAGTTAAAGCAAAAATTGCCTCGTCCGTAATAATCAGAGTATGCAATGCATGATGATGGTGATGTTGTAATACATGTTGAAGTTTCTCACCTGTCCCCTCTAGACTTTCTAAAACCACCACTTGCTGATCTTTTCTCATCATCATGATTTGTCCAACCATTTTGAGGCTGCTCCATGGACATGCTTCGACTTTTGCTCAACGACAGACCTTTCATAGAGTTTGAAATATTTGCAGTATACTGCAAAGAGATCAATACTTGTTGCCAGTTTAAAATACAAGAAGTCAGACCCAAGGAAGTAAAAAATTCTTATAATTCTTAATGTATAGAATGCACAATGTGGGGATGATGTGCAGAGGCTACTAACGCTGTAGAAGTGTCTAGATGCAGGCTACTGTACATTACCTCGTGCTTCTCTTGAAATTCTTCTGACATTTCATCTTCACTACGTCTACGTTCCTGAACTGCCTCCTCCACCAAAAACATCTTTGTCACAATGGAACTTTCTCTTGTTCCATCACTAAAATTTATAATTGTTTATTGTTTATTGAGTTCCTCACCCAATTGATAGGGGATCCGAGGTACCCATATGAAAAATTCCAATCGGCATTTGGGCCAATTTCCAATAGAAATTCCAATTATTGACGCTTATCCAAGAAGAAGCGAAAGTCTAGTGACCATTTACTTTTTCGATTCCTGCCAGAGGAGTCACTGACTTGCGTTTCTGGTTAGATATATATAATTATATATATATAATAATAATAATAACAATAATAATGATAATGATAATAATAGAATTGGTATAAAAGAAACAGAGAAGATAGAAAAGTATGAGGAGTTGAAAAGGGAAATTTGGAAAATATGGGCAATGCAAAAAGTAGAAGTGATTCCAATAATAGTAGGTGCCTTAGGAGCAGTTAGTAATAATCTGGATAAGTGGATTGAGAAATTGGGAATACATATAAGAATAGAACTACTACAAAAAACAGCATTGTTAGGGACAGCAAGAATACTGAGAAGAAGCTTGGAAAGCTAAAATCTTTGGGACCTGAGGCTACTGGTTGTAAGCCAGCTTCCAAGGAAAAACATAGCCAGCATAAGAACAAAGCTGTGAAAAAATGTAACAATAATTTTTTTTATGTTTTTTTTTTCATTTTGGGCTTTTTTTTAATAATATTAATAATAATTATTTTTATAATAATATTAATAATAATAATAATAATAATAATTTTTTTTAATAATAGTAATAATAATAATAATAAAAGCATCTATTTAAACACAATGGTAAATTTCTTGGACTATCTATCTACTCCAATAAACAACTGACCGCCTAGTCGACTGATTGACCCAAATGCAAAGTATATATAACACTTTGTCAATCAAACCTTGATGTTGCCATTGCTTTTACTGTTCTCTTGCCAGGACCAAGAACAAATGGTTTGTAAAATCTGTAGGTAAACTTTTCACCAATTTTCTGAAATGGATTTGGTTTTGTCCCATTCACAGTATAGTAGATTAAGGCACCAGGAGTTTCTACATATTAAATGGTGATATTTTTAAGGTATGGCTTAAATAATATATATTACATATTTTAACCCATTGAATGCTAGCAAAAATATGTGGGGTGGGTGTGGTTATAGACATTTGTGGGAGCGGTGGTGATACAAATTTTTGATATGATACCATAGTCCATAGAGTGACCGTCTGAAATTCACGCTAATGATACCAGTCAGTTTGGTGGGATCCATAATTAATATTGAATTGGTGATTTGTCATGTTGTACCCACTTCCAGAAACTGCATCACCTTGGCTATAGAGCTTCATTTTTGTGATTGAGACATTAGACTTTAACTTATGTCACATACACAAAAATGAGGCTCTGTAGTCAAGGTGACGTACTTTCCGGAAGAGTGTATTGTTTGCATAGACTGAGCAAATTGAAACCACTTTCAAAAGCTTATTAAAAACATAGAAGATTCACATGAGAACTGAAAATGATTTTATCTTGGTTCAGGTCTCCATCCTTCGATGGACAATGATACAATCATGTAAACATCAAGCCACAGAATAGAGACAAACAGAAGGTTGACTTCTTGGTTTTTCCTATAATTTTGGTGTAACAGTAATTCATCTTCAAATTGCTGATGCCATGGTCCTAGCCAATGCACTTATGAGAGGCATTCACCCCACCAGATAATATTCAAAATGGTGGATGTCCGGGGGGGGGGGTGAATGCCTCTCTTAAGCATGCACACTGACTAGGATCATAGCATCGGCATTTTGATGACAAATCATTGCAAATCGTGGTGTGGCAGTTTTGCTTTTTTGGCTGAGTCGTCCTTCTGTGTGTCTTTATTCTGTGATCAAGTTCTAACAAATCTCAATTTTGTTGCCATGACAATGTAAACATATAGTGATGATAAATGATAGATTCTATCAAAATGTGTTATATAAATACAGTAAAATCACAAATACAATGTTTGTTTTGCATACTTTCAATTTAGCTAAAAACGATCGCTACGTATATATACTTTTGCCTTTTGTATTATAAATGAAACAAAATTGGCGCTAAAATTTATACATAGCAGGTTGCCCAGTTTGCGGACAGCGAACAATTTTTGCTCTGGTTTACAATAAAAGAGTGCTAGAAAGTTGAAACTTTTACAGATGACAACTACTATTCACTACTACTTTATTTTAAAAGATGGATGAATAATGTATTTTACTTAATCAATAAAACCGAAAACAGATGCCCGATAAATTGTGCCTAAATTGACCCACAGTGCATACCTGATAATATTTCGATCGGGGTCTGCGTATCGATCATATTTTTCCTGCTGTTAGACGGAGGCCGTAACGGCACAATCGTCGGAACTCTAACCATTCCAGCCGTCATGATTACACAAAATTTATTTGAATAATAACTGTAGTTTTTATAAAACCAAAACAAAAAAACAACAAAAATTTGAAAACATCAACATATACAACCCGCAAACAGGCAATGCTACACTGATCTTGATGTTCAACTGGATCCATATTAACTATATATATTGGTCATTTGCGTGTCGAGATGTGTACCAAGCTGCACTGATGAGGCGTATGACGCCGAAACATGCATGTCTGCAGATTGTACTATATATATATATATATATATATATATATATATATATATATATATATATATATATATATATATATATATATATATATATATATATATATATAAAGTGAAATAAAGTTCATATGAAGTAATTCAAGTTTGTCTTCTAATCTTATCAGCTCTCCTACGGTATTGAGCACTCTACTCATATATGATTCCAAATTCGATACTTATCTATATATATATATATATATATATATATATATATATATATATATATATATATATATATATATATATATATATATATATATATATATA